TACTTTTAATAAAATTAAATAAATACATACACATGACTTTTGGTGTTGCCTGCCCATTTCCCCTTTCACTGCATCCACACTCCTTCTTCTCTACCTTCTTTCTCCCTTTCTTCTCTTCCCTACTTCCCTCTTCTTCCTCTCCTTTTCTCTTTCCTTCAGCACTCTCTTCCCCTTTCTCCCCACTTCTCCTCTTCTCCTCCAACCTTCCTACTTCCTTCTCCCCTCTTTTATTCTTTTCTCTCTCCTTTCCTTTCTTCCCTCGCATACCTCTTCAGATACAATTCAGGGGTAATGTCTGAGCAACTCCTCTCTCTAAATTTTCCTATCTGTATTATATACAATAAGATTAATTTTCTGTTACATTAATACTTCTATTTATCTAACCTTCTCGGTATATACTTCTATAAATATTTATACAACCTCCAGTTATTCAATACTGTGTCACTTGGCTCTCCTTCCTTATCTGCTCCTTCTTCTTCCATCTAAATTGATGTTAACTATCTTTTAACCGTATTCTCTTTTCAGCCAATCATAAAAAGTTCCCCAGATTTCATAGCAGTTTGACTCTGTCTTATCTTTGTCATTGTTAGTCTGTTCATTTCTGCACATTCCAGTGTCAAACTCAATTTCATTGAGGGCCACATCAGCATTGCGGTTGCCTTCGGGGGGCCGGGTGGGTGTGGCCAGGGTAGGTGCGGCCTACTGGGTGGGCATGGATGTAGTGGGTGTGGCCTATTGGGTGGCATGGCCAACTCTACATTGTTCACGTCAAGGGTGCCTGTGGGGGCCTGAACAGGAGTGGGACAGATCTGAGGGTCTCTGGCAGAAGGGGGTGGGACCAGGGCAAGTGACAAGGCATGGTCCACTAGAGGAGCCTCACTGTTCCTCTCAGGCCATGCTGGGGGTCTGGATGGTGGTACAGACTGCCAGGAGCCCTGGGCAGCAGAGGTCAAACACCCAGCCTGGCCCTCAAGCACCTGCGGCACCAAGCCCAGCCCCACTTCCCCAAGGGGATGCCCAGCTGCACTTACCTCCTCCTCAAGGCTGCTGCTGCTGTGCTTGCTCTCCTTAGCCAGGTTGCTCATGATGGGTATGAGGGCAAAGTCAGAGGGAGGCCCACTCCCTCTCCATGGGAGGAGACCCGGCTTTGTATCCAAAGCTTCCTTAGCAATAGGATGGAGACCTCCAGGATAGGCCAGGAGGAGTGGGCAAGGGGATGGTAAAAGGTCAGCAGGGCAGGACTCAGGCAGGACTTCCCTCAGACCCTCCTTCTCCTTCTTTCCTTCGTTCCTTTCTTCCTTCCTAAGTACAGAGTGGTGGGAAAATATTTGAGATGAGGGAGAAAAACAGGCAAGAAACGCAGCTGAGCAGGTGTCACCCTTTACGAAGAATGAAGAAATGCACCATTGCCTGGAAGTGGCCAGTACATGACCCACACCTACTTCACATATCTGGCTTGGTGGGCTCTGGGGGAGGGGATGCCATGAGCAGCGTGAGAGTCAATGTTACCTGCGCAATACCGCCCAGCCCCCAGCCTGCCTAGTTTCAGCAGGCAGCAGGGTGCTCTCCTCACAGCGCCGAGAGGCTGAGCCAGGCGGCATGAATCTGAAAAGAAGTGCGACGCCGCCCAGCCCCCAGCCTGCCCAGTTTCGGCAGGCAGCGGGGCGCTCTTCTCACAGTGCTGAGAGGTTGAGCCGGGTGGTGCGAAGCTCACCAGCTTTGCACCTTCCTGCCTGCTGAAACTGGGCAGGCTGGGGACTAGGACAAGATTCTTCTCACAGTTACTACTGTTGAGCCCCAGGTACCATCTATTTTATATATGTGCATTTGGTTCTTCCTGCCTACATGCAAGATGTTGCTTTTTTCACAACTTTTCTCTCTACTGAATTGCATTTTGTTGGATAGGGCTCACGTTTGTCAAGATCCTTCTGAATCATGAGTCTGTCATCCAAAGTGTTGGCAATTCTCCCCCCCCCCCGTTTGGTATCATCTGCAAATGTAATGAATTCCTCTTCTATCCCTTGATTGAGATCATTTATGAAGATGTTGAAGAGCACTGGGCCCAAGACAGAACCTTGACGTGTCCCACTGCATGCTTCCCTCTATGTAAATGTAGTTCTATTCAGGATTGCACACTGAGTGCAGTTGATCAACCAACTGCAATTTCATCTGGTGGTGGTACTGTCCATCCCACATTGTTCTATCTGACCAAGAAGTAGGCTGTGGTCTACTTTGTCAAATGCCTTATTGAACTCCCAAGTAAACTATACCCACAGCATTTCCCTGATCCATTAATTTAGTCATTTATCAAATAAGGCAATAAGGTTGCCTGGCATGATTTGTTTTAACAAACTAATGCTGGCTTCCAGTGAATTGCTTTGTTGTTTTCTAAAGATAAACATTTCCTTGTCTAGTCATGTCAGATTCTAAGGTCTTTTCCCTTGGGTAGGGGGGTGGGCTAAAAAAATCTCCTAGGTCCCTTCCAGCCCTATGATCTTATGATTCTGTGATTTATTGATTTGGCATGTTAGTAAACTATGCCTGAGTAATCCTGACAAATAGTGTTTGTGGACCAGCATGGTAAAAAAATAAATCAATCAAATGTTGATATTTGAATTATTCATGGTAATTCCAAATAAAATAACCGAGGACAGTATTATCTGCTTAGCTTGAAAGTTAAAAAATAGTTTGACCAGAGAGAAGCAGAAACTATACAAAATTTACATGTGAAATAAAGAACTTTAATATGCTTTCTCACACTTGCAGAAGAGATAAAATTATTGATTTTTGCTTGAGTTGGAACCTTACTGCAGCTCTCATTGTGCCTTGAAATTTTTTTGAAAAATGAACCTTTAAATAAATACTTAGTAAATATCACATTAAGCCATAGTGTAGCTGGTATCTAGACGCATGCTACCTCCAAGCCATAGACACCATTGGCTCATAAGAACTAACAGTCCAATCCTCATATCTATATCTTAAAGCCAAGTTGGTTACCACCACATCCCATGGTAATAAATTCCATGTGTTAATTATACACCATATGAAGAAGTTCTTTCTTTTATCTGATCCTAGTGTTTTGAGAGAAAAAAATTGTTTACTTCTGGCATCCAGGCATAATACAACAATAAGGCCTCTATTAACTTTTTAAAGTTAAAACGTTCTCAACATTCTACCTATTTCTTATACAGAAGCCTTCAAGCCTCCCAATTATTTTAGCTATCCTTTTCTACACTTTTTGTATATGTAACATTCATCTTCAAATAAACCATGCAGAGTTGTATGCAATATTCCAGAAGCATACATACATTTAAGGGCATTACACAATGTTAGAAGTTTTATCCATAGCATGAAATTTGCTTTTTTAAAGTTGCTGCAGCCTGCTATTCAGAGTCACAAAGATGATTTCTCCTGCTTAGCTCAGATCATTCATTAATGTGGAAGTGACATTAGGAGTCTTTGCCCCAGTATTCGTTTTATAGTTCCTGAAATTGATCAGCATTTATCATTTGGTTGCCAATTCATTAGTTTTATAATCACTTTGGTTATTATCACCCAACAAACTTTTTACCACTACAACAATAGGTGGGTAATTTCTCTTTTGTCAGATCATAGATAATCAAGTAAAAATTTAACCTAATGTAGAAATGTAGTCCACATTTCTGGGATGAGAACCCAGAAAATTGAGTTAATTTAATAAAACATAAATATGCTGTATGAACCCAGCCTCAGTTTCTTGAATGTCACTTTTTGAATATAACTTTTTTTGCTGATTTAATGCCCAATTTTAAATTCAACTGACAAGAATATTTGTATGGATCAACTTACAGTTCAACCCTTGTATTGAGGAAAAAATGCTTAAGATAAACCCATTGAAATGGACCGATCCTTAATAGGCTTATCTAAGAGCTTTATCAGACTTAAGAATAAATTCCCAATGGCTGAACTGGGACATGTTTACACCACAATTATGCATAAACCATCATTTTAACATGCTAAGACAAAAGCAGACCATTAAAAATTATGATAACTTAGTGTTTGCTAAGAGTAAAGAAAAGTTTGAGAATAAGAATATACACTATATTGTTGTTTCAAAGATTGCGTTTAACCATGGATTGCTTAACCATGGGGGACAAAACACAACTGATTATGTTCATACATTAAAGAGAATAAAAATGAAACAAGCTACATTATAGCTTAGCATAAATTCCACTTTTTACATACTTACGTGACATGCTTCAAAAACTAAAGGACGCATCTTAAGGTGTGACACCATTAACACTTATTTCATCAATATGCCATTATTGTGTTTAAGAAGAGATGCCTATGGTTAGCATACTGTATGAATCATGTTTAGTTTACATTTAGGGCCATAAGACAGTCATGGTGCCTATAAACCATAGTTTATGACATAGCTTTTTGTATAATATATAACCCAAGCCACCACAGCTCTGTTTCCAAATTATACAAAGCCATAATATCGTTAATTTGTTTATAGTTTCACATTATGTCCGAGTTCAGCCATTGGGAATTCATTCTTAAGTCTGATAAGGCTCTTAGATAAGCCTATTAAGGATTGGTCCATTTCAATGGGTTTATCTTAAGCATTTCTTCCTCAATAGAAAGGTTGAACTGTAAGTTGATCCATACATTCTTGTCAGTTGAATTTAAAATTGGGCATTAATCAGCAAAAAAAGCTCTATTCAAAAAGTGATAAGACGGAAAATGCTGTCTAGAAATAAACACGTTCGATTTCAGTTATACTGGACCGCCACTTTTATCACATTTTAACTCGAGAGAAAAAAGCGCTGTAGCACGACCCTCCGTTGCAGGGTTCAAAGCCCGACCGCCGTCCATCAGCTTGCAAAAGAAGCCCCCTCCCCCACCCCGCCCTTCCGTGCCAGGATCCGACGAGAGGCGCCACAGCACACACACACACACAGCCCCTCCCCGCGCGCGCGGACGCCGGGCGGAAGGAGCGGGGCGGAGCCGGGGGGGACAGCAAACCGCTTGCGCAGTGGCCAGCGAGGGCGCCCCGCCTTTTCGTTCCTCCCCTCGGCGGGGCCGGTGCCGGTTTACGTAACGCCTCTTCTGGCGAATTCCGGCTTGGTCCCGCCGCCTGACTTGGGACGGGTCGCCAGAAGCCCCGGCAGGTAAGGGCGACCTTGAAGGAGGCCGCTGCCGTTTCTCTCGGACAGCGCTGCACGCATCCCTCCACTACCCCCGCCTGTCCGGCCTGCTGAGGCCTGTGGCGCTGTAAGACGAGAACGGACTGGATAGGCGGGCCTAGCCTGGTTTGGCCTGGCGGCCCTGTCCGCCGAGTGATCCAGAGGCACGGCTGACTCGGCGCAGGGGCAGCGGGGCGCCCCCTCAGGGAAAGAATGCTCGCGTTCCCTCGGCCTGTCAGCCTCCGCCTGCCTCCTGCAGGAGAGGCAGTAAAACTCCGCGCCGCGGCCTGCTGCCCAGGGAGTAGGTCGCGCCGACCGGGATGGAAGGCTACTTACGGCCTTCGTGAAAGGTTTTTCGACCAGCGGCTTTTTGCGAGTTCTGAAGGCAGGCAGTTATCGAAACTGCTTCGCTCCTCAAATAACAGGCGTGTTTCTTAACAATCCCCCTGTGGTTTTGTTCAGATCCGTTTCTTCGTCCTTGGATGGTTCGGCACTGCGGTGCTGAACTGCAAGAGGGTGTAGAAGATCCAGAGACTTTGCTGTGAGAAGCGCTGCTTTTGAGTGGGCATCTTTCTTGGCTGCTGCAGGTTCGCACCTTGTTTGACTGCTGTAGGTTTTGCTGGCTTGGACTCGATGGGATTGCTGAATAGTATGGTTGCACCGTGGGGCTCAATAAGTAGCCATTCAGTTTCTTGGCTTTGGTATTTACTGCATTTATTAACTGTTTTTGTGCTAAATGTATTCAAGACGGTTTAGGCATATAATTTAGGTATAAATAGTGTCAGATGAATGTAGGAACCAAATGTTCTTAACTAGCCATTCCAGGTCTTGGCTTACCAGTAATAGATAGGTTACCTTGGTTGATGCTAAATGTATTCAAGACGGTTTAGGCATATAATTTAGGTATAAATAGTGTCAGATGAATGTAGGAACCAAATGTTCTTAACTATTTTTTGTTCCAGGTATGTATTACCAGTAATAGATAGGTGACCTTGGTTGATCTTGAAAAACTTCAGCTGTGTTAGACTAGTTACTATTTGGATGGGGAGACCATTAGGAAATTTAAAGTGTAGGGTCTAAGCTGGGAAGTAAAAAATAAATCCCCAAAGATGGTAATGACAAACCACTCCTATATAGTTGCTAGATCACCATAGGAGTATGAGGAAGCCTTGAATACTACCAATTAAGACTGGCTTAAGCAACTGTTGATAACACTAGTTTTCACATAAAAACATTGCTGAACATCTGAATCAAGCCTAAGGAACATATTACTAGCTTTCCTGCTCACAATCGCCTATTCATCTGTGGCATATTAGTATTTTGATGAATTACCTGTTAAATTGCAATTGAAATGATCATAGTATTGCTATAGCTATACTTGAAAGCAATTATTTGTCTGAAAGGTATTACAAGTGTTAAGATGATGAAACTATATACTATAAATTCCTAATAGATCAAGTTTAGTATGTGACTTGAAATCAGACTACTCTGAAAAAAAGCTTTTTTTTTTTTTTTCAAACTCTTCAACTTCTGAATCTTGGAGTTTAAGGGAGGTTAAAATAGTTTTGATGTTATCCTAAATTAAAAATAAAACATCAAAAGGCAGGATTTGATACCTATTTTAAATATTCAAAGGAGGAGTTTCAACTATTTAAAATGAATTACTCATCCAGTTAAGAAATATTTGTGTGGATTGTGTACATCAGTTGTAAAGCAGAATCTTCATTCTCTCCTCCCCCCCCTCATTGAACCAGGACATACATATGTTGCAATCTTAATTACCTTGTGCAATTTATTCTCAAGGTATATATCAGTAGTTAGTTTTCAATCCTGAAAATTATTAAGTATAATAAAGTACAGTTTCTGTGACTATACAACAGCTAACTGGCTTCATGGAACTACATTATTTCCCTTCATTTTCAAGAAATAAACAGTCTCTGAATATATGATGAATGCTCATCAGAAAATCAGATTTTCGACTTATATTCAAGTGTACAATTTGAACTTTCTCTCTCTCCCCCTCCTTCCCCTTCCCTCCCTCCCTCTCAATGGATTTGCAGTTGCACTTCAGGTTCTGCTTTTTTGTCATGGAAAAGTATTTCTCACAAGTGTCTTTCAATGAGTTTTCACCATTGATTCTCTACATCTTTAATAATGCTGCCAATATTTTAATGCCTAATTTTCATTAGAGTCAAAGTTAACAGGTTCAACATCATTCACTTACCCAATTCCTATTTTTGCTATGCCGGAGGGCATCTCCTGTAGTAACTACTGTTCATGTTCCTTCTGTTTGGTAGAATTGCTTTTGTAAGTCCCCTCCCACCCTCCTGTATTGTACACACAATATTGTAAATAGTGGTAAGACAGATGAAGGCAGAGGATTTTCATAATGACACCGGTTATATTGTATAACAATTTAGTTACAGAGCCAGTTTGGTGTGGTAGTTAAGGTGCTGAATTAGAAACTAGGTGTTTATGAGTTGTCCTCCCTTACGCATAAAGGTGGCTGGGTGACTTTCTCTTAGCCCAACACATCTTGCACTTTGTTGTTATAGGAGGCTGGGTGCTGCCTTCAGTTGTACAAAATAAAGGCGCAATATAAATAAGGATATTCTACCATCAAGTAATTCAGTGTAGAAAAAAGTGCTTACATATTAGTGGGAAGAATGTGATAATTTTTAAAACTACAAATACTCAAAATACTTAATGGGAAAAGTATAACATAGTTTCTTATTTCTAATCTATTTTAATCTATTGTAGGTTATGTACTGTGTAAACCTGATCACTCTTTATGTGGTGTATGTTATAGCATAATATATGAACTGAGCAATTGCTTGTTAGCAATGATTGGTAGTTTATGTGGGGAAAGGCTAGAGTGAGATGAATCTTTAACATTTGTGAATATTTCCATGGTATGATAGCTAATAGGGAGACTAACATTTTTCTCCACTATGTCAGTACAAATAGTTCTTGTTTAGTGACTTCCTTTGGCAGTGATCATATTGCAGTTATGATGGTGATGAAAAGTAACTTTGCAACTACTGCCTGCATTTACGTCCTTCACAATATGTCTCTCTTTCTCTTTCTCTGTCACACTTTTGCCATTATAATCAGATGGTACATGTTGTCCTGTGCCTTGATTTTTTTTCTCCCCCCCCCCTTCCCCTTGCAGAATGTAGAGATTATTTAAGCAAGCTCTCTTCCAGAGTTGCTTTTCTCTCCAGCGTAGTGGAGTCCTTCCCTAAAAATATTAAGAGCAAGTTGGGATCTGTGACCTTAACTAGTACTCTTGTAGTTGCTACTTGAAATTGACAAACTCTAATCAGTTTCACACTATAAGAAGTCCTCAGCTTATGACCATAATGAAGTCTGGAATTTTGGATGTAAGTTGTTACAGCTGTAAAGTCAAGGCATGTGACCAGCCTCAATTTTACAATTGTTTTTACAATGGCTCTAAAGCAACTCACACTCATTTAGCAAATCTGTGGTTGTTAAGCAAATCTAGCATATATAGTAAGTTTTTTTGCCATTTTCTGGCAGAAAATAGCAAAAAGTTTTGGAAATCACAGTCATGTAATTGGAATGCTGCAACTGGTCATAAATGTGGGCAATTGCCAAAGTGCCCAAATTAATTTGATGGGAGGGAGGGCAAAGTCATAACTTTGAAGACAGATTGTAAGTAGCTTTTTAAAAGTCCATCATAATTTTGAATGGCTCTTAAATGATTGGTTGTAAGTCAAGGACTACCTGTAAAGGCTTTTCTTTTCTCCTAAGCCTGCTTCAAAAGCATCAGCAGGCTGCTTTTGATATATATTCTTTATTGTGTGCCTGCCTACACTCTTGTAATCCTTTCCTCCCCAATGAATGTAAATACAAACCTCAATTCTCTTCTTGCTAATTATGCCAGCATCAAGGGGAATATTTTAAAGGATGGGGAAGAAGGTGAAAAAGAGTTATAAGATTTCCCCTTTTACCTGGCTTTGTTCTGAACTGAATTCCAGAAATCCTCCTGGCTGTTTGGGATTTATCTGACACTTTAAAATAAAAGCTGAGGTAAAATTGTAAGCATGGTCATGGTCATATGATTTTTCCTTTCATAAACTCTTTGCTTAATAACTGTGTTGCTGATCCCAATTGTAGTCGCTAAATGAGGATTATCTATAGTGTAATCCCTGGCTAACATGGGAGCCTGAGATTAAAAAAAAGATATAAACAATTTTCTCCTAATAGTGCCTGGTGAAAGAATGGACAGGTCCTGATATAACTTGAACATGGTTGCACTCTTGAAATATTTTCAGTTAATGCAAACTTATTCTGGTGATGGAAGAAGTAATCAGAATAGCAAAAGTCCAGCTCATAACCAAGAACGAAGATTTTTAAGTTCAGCTAGGCTGCTAGCTGATATGCTGCAACAAAGGAAGCTACTGTCTGTAAAAAAGAGAGAGAAAGGGAGAAAATAATTATTTAGAATGATAACTAAGGAAAAAAAAACAGTTGTAGCCATGTCATAATAGTCTTAGAGGAAGGAAGTTGAAAAATTCTGAGAAGTCACTTGGTGTTCTCCTTGTATTCTTGGCCCATGAAAGAAGAATATTGTAAGGGAATGTTAGAGTTCCGCAAAGTGTGTTATGGATATTTAGTTTTTGGACAAAGCTATTGAAAGAAAGACCTGTTGGCAAGAAATAAGGTATACTTTGTAAAGGAAAAATACATTTATCTTAAGAACGTTGAGGTTGTTTAGAAAAACCTTAAAATTAATTCTGTGATGGCTGGAGACGAAAACCTTGAAAAAAAAAGACTTCAGATAAAACATTGCTCTAATGGGCATGTAGATTGAAGTAAATGAAGGAACAAATAAACAATATTTTTGCAACTATCCAAGGAGATATGGATGATAGTTCAGAAACAAAAATTGCAGATTTTTCACAGAGTATTAAATTGTAGTGATGGGGGGACACAGGGAGATAGACAATCTGACCTTCATAACATGGTAGATTCTAGAACAGATAATAAAGTGAGCAGAATGAAAATGAGGTGTTTGGAATAACTCAACATGTATCTGACAGAAACAAGTCTTACCAGGTTGACAATCTAATTATTGGATCAGGTAACTTAATAGATTGCAGGAATGTTGTAGGCATAATGTATCTTGATTCCAGCAAAATATTTCATAAAGGACTACAGAATATTCTAATTAATATACTAATTCTATTTAGCATAATAATATTTACTGTATGGATGCCACAAGGGTTAGTGCTAGTCCTTCCATTCTATATATGACTTAAGAGGTGTCTGCTATGATACAAAATTATATCTAGTAATACTAGGTAGTCCTCAACTTATTATCACAGTTGTGATCATAACATTTCCATTGCTAAGTAAGACAATTGTTAAGTGGGTTTTGCCCCATTGTACAACCTAACTTGCCACAGTTAAGTAAATCACTGCAATTGTTAAGTTAGTAGCATGGTTGTTAAGTGAATCTGACACCCCATTATCTGATCACATAACCCCAGATACTGCAACCATCATGAATATATGCCAGTTGCCAAACATCTGAATTTTGATCACATGACCGTGGGGATGT